TATTGACTGATTTTAGAGAAGAATATGAGATTTTATAATATGAAATTAATGGTTATCAGAAAGGATATAAATCCATAATTGATGTGTTTGTCTGATATAATGATTTTAGCAACTTATTTTGTAAATGATCATATATTTGATTTCGTTGATATATCTTTCTGTTTCGATAGTATTACAAGAAATGACGGTGATTCCGAAGAGTTTTGAAATCATTTCGAATGATTTTTTGAGTATTTGTTATTAATAGTAAAACAATCTGATTGCTACTTTTTCTCGTAGATTTTTCAACCACACTTCGATTTTCTATTCACCTTTAGATAAAGTTTCGTGGGAAGCTATGTCGCTATTCGCTTCAAAAGTTATGATATTCCCAAATTCATTCATATGAGTTACAAATCTTCACCATTTTACCATGAGCTTATACGCCCTAACAGCGTCAAATACATTAAATTATGTACAATATGGTTGGGCATTCACGTTCAAGACCGAAGGTCCTGGGTTCGAATCCCGAGGGTGGGATCGTGAATGCTCACCGCTGAGCAGTCCCATATTAAGACGAGATGGCGATCCAGTGCTTACAGGTTTTCGATAGTGATCTAGCATTGATACATTCATGATATTATTCTAAATTTAACAATCTTCACAATCCTATACAGATTATGTACAATAATCAAATATTCAATTTGATTACATAAGTGTTTATAATAATTGAACGTTAAATATTACCATGTAATGATTCTTAGTGTAAATTATATATAAAACAATAGGAAAACACATTCGCATTTTTTCATTCACTATGAATGATTTGAACTGAAGAATCACTAGTTTTTTTTTCAAATAACAAACTAAACCAATTATACTTCAGATTAGTAAACGAGCAAAACCTATATACACTTCTGACATTTCAGTTTCAACACCTTTAAACATTCTGGTAAATAACACAAAAACAACAAATTCGTAAAAACCAGTCGGACAGAACCTGTTATAATATAATGATGGTCTAATGTTAGAAAATATGTTCACCTTCATGTTTGAAAATACTGAACAGGTCAGACTTTAGAAAAATCAAACCAGACTAATGAATTATGCAATGCTTCCTTATTCACATCTGCTAAATATAAATTCAGCTCAATTTAATAATACACAATAACACATAAATGTTTCACAAAGCACTTGATTAGTAGAACTTTATGTAATTTGTTTAGTCTACTTGAAATTCATATCCTTTTTCCTTTCTTTCTCCCTTTTATTATTCAACAGAAGTAACCTAAAACGTTTTATATCCATTCGGATCATTGAAGATTTATTTCATAATGATTTAAAGAAACCTATTAACTATGATAGAAAATGATTATAAATATGACTTTTATGAACAATATTTTGTTATTAGAAATACAACCAATTGTATTTATTAAATTTCCTTTCAATAATCAAAATTCATTTCATATTGAATATTCTATAATTATACAAATAACGTGAATACACTACAGTAGTTATGTGAATTTAGTTTGACAATGATGAACTATTATTATTATTATGTCAAACGTATTCAATTCACCCTAATGATTAATCATTCCAGAAGTGAATGACTAGTAAATGTTTACTATAATAAACTTTTGTACGCCTACATAGTTTATAAACTGTTTGTAATATTAAAATACAATGACCTATTATATGTAATAATAATAATAAGTGTTTAAACACTTTTCAACAAATGAGACATAAATTTTAGTTCCCACGATTTTATAAATTAATCAGAATATTAATCTGTCATCTTTACTATTACCCTTGGAAACCATGATAAAACCTGAAATGAAATAATGATGAACAAAATATTGATGGGTTTTACTTTTCTATCTTACAAGATTGATCCTTTTTAGGTATAGGTTAAAATGAAATATTCACAAAAATATACCATACAAATAAATAAATAACGACTCCGTCTGGAGCTCCTCTGGGGCTACTACAGGTCCCAAACCCGGATAATGGAGAGAGGTTTGGCATGCCGTTACCGACCTCATCTCGTAGAAAACTAACACGCTAAAAATCGCTAACCAGAAAAAAATTATTCAAATAATTAATTTCACTAATACTAAACTATTTTACCGTTATTACTATTTTATATCAGACAATACATCAGTGTAATTAGATTATCTTAATCTGATAAGAGCGAAGTAGTTGGAGACTTTTTAAAGTATTTTCTCGATACAGTTGATTAAAACAAAAATATTTTCCTATTTCAGTTGATTAATGATAAAATAGTTAAAATTCCATAGAGATATGATGTGATATATGTAAGTTAACATTTCAAAGAAAACTGGTTAAAAGTAGATTGGTAGGTTTAAATTTTCGGCAGTGTTTCCCGCCGTCTTATTTTGAAAATAATCAAATCAATGTTTGTAAATAAGTTTGTATAATAATAAAAGAAGAGAGCAATGGTTCTTTAAAAACGTGAACATATTTCATTCATTCAGTTTGTACAATTTACCTATATTTCCCACTTAAATGAGAGGTATTTCATTAAGTGTCTGCAAACTTTTTATCATCATTAGGATTCAAAAAATTTGTAAATTGTTCTGACGAATAATACTAAAAGTAAGCATAATTGCAGCTAATGAAGTACATTAAAGTAAGATTACTATGTACAAGTATTTATAAACATTTTTTTTGTATACATAATACTCAATGTTCGTTGACCAAATACCATCAGCAACAACCTACTGTGAGAGAGAACAAATCAGTTTCCATTTGATGAGAAAATTAGGAAAGGACATTGGAAGTGGATAATGAGGCAAGCACTAACTTGGAATCCTGAAAAGAATCGGAAAAGACGAAGGTCAAAGAACACACTAAGTTCAGTATTGGAAGCAGACATGAAAACGATGAATAGCAACTGGAAAGGATTGTCCAAGATAGAATTGGTTGGAGAATGCTGGTGAGCGGCCTATACTTCTCCACAAGAGGGAATAGGCGTAAGCTCACTATGTAACCAAAATAATATACACTTGTTTATCTTACTGTGTTGTGAAACTTACATAAAGCTTTTAACCCAGTAGTACTTTGGTTTAGTATAAATGGATATTCGTCATAATGAAACATTCTGATAAACTCCTATTACATTGCTAAGTCGATATGTGTTCCCTTGAGATAACAAATGGCAAAACCTTTTACTAGTTAACACCGAGAAACTGTTGGAACGAACGCACCTTTATTATCTGAAAAAAATTCACTGTTGTCACACGATGGTAATACCTAGATTTTAAGATCCAAAATGCCAACGTTTATGATGCCTGCAGATTGGATGAGTGTTAAACGTCAGTTTGTCGTCGTTCGAGATCAGTGCGTTTAAAAAATAGTTATTTGGAACAAGTAGAGCAATAACCATTCAAGTTATTTTTAATGATATGTATTTATATAGTTAAATAAATAGAATATTTGAAGATTATACAATTTTCACGTTTAAATCACAAAGTGATCTTATCTAGAGCATTATTAAAAAATATAAAAGGACTGAACAGTCATTTTGTCCTAGTATGGGATTGGTTAGCAGTATATATCCACAACGGGATTCGAATCTGAGATCTTGATTTTCGAGCGTGAATATACCAACAGGTTGGTAACTAAAGATATTCATGTCTAACATCAACCAATCCGTAATAATGAATGAACTCTATCTATCGTCTGTGGACAATAACTATTGCACACGCAACACGGGTCAAACTCCACTCGTAATAGCTTCTCACTGGAACTTGAGGAGTACACCTTGAAAGCACATTATCATTGTCATTAGTATATTGGATTTGTGGAAATTGTTCAATGTTTACAGTTTTAAACCATGAACTGAGGAGTATGTTTGATTATACATTGAAGCTTGGAGAATATTTCTACTGGTTGTACGCCAAAGGTCTATTATTAGAATTAAATTATTTACGTAGTGCACGTTAGAAAACAGTAATGGAAACTAGTGTAACTTTCATTTTATATTCATTCCTATTCAATAAAGATCATTGTGCTAGTGTTGATTTTAGTTTACAAGTATGCATGAATTATCTGATATCGTTGAAACTCTATATACGACAAACCATATATACGACATGAAACTTGAAAACTTACAATTTATCATCAGAAATCTAGTAATAGTAAGATTGAAGAAAACATATATCATTGAAACTGATCAATAGAGTTTAAAATAATCACCAGTTGAATAAATAAAAGAACACATATTGACATCACTATTCATTTCATGTTTAGTTCTTTATCTTGGTATTTTTTTTAGTGATTTTATTAATAAATGAGGACTTTGATAATCTTCAATTTTACTACTGAAAAGTATATATTATCGCAATCACTTTTTAAAGAATAAGATAACAGAATATCTCTCAGCAAACAACTTACTAATTTCACATTATATTATTTACTGTCTACTATGACTGTTCAAAAAGGTTGAGTGATAATTCATTCAATGAATTTAATGCCTTAAATGAAAAACTTAAAATGTTTTACTTAATGAAATCATACTCCATTTGTAAATGAAGGGATTATTATAACTCACTATTGATGTGGATAGATCTCAGCAACTTTAAATAATTGAGAATTCACCAATATTAACAATTTTACAGAATAATAAATAAAAACTTTCGTCTAAATTTGATCAAATAATTTCACAGTATTTGGGCGCCGAGTTAATGTGAGACCTTAAAGAGGTAGAATGTATTTGTGAAAACTCAGCGAAAGAATTTGAAACTAAATCCAACGTTTCACCTGGTAATCTGGTCCTTGATAAAGCTTGGACTAGATTGCCAGGCAAAATGTTGGATTTACTTCCAAATTCTTTCGCTGAGATTACACATATACATTCTTCTTCTTTAATATTTAACAGTTTTACAGTGTTTAATCAACGAAAAAAAGAAAAAGAAAATAAATGAAATTAAAGTTTTTTTTTAAAAAAACCACCTAAATATTGATCATTGAAATGAATATAAATTAATCATTATACTAACCTTTAATTGTTTGACATTTATAATATGCATTTGAATAATAAATTGCAATAATTGATGCAATAATTAAAAATAATAATATTAAAATAAGTAATAGAATTAATAAAATAAATAATAATTTAGAAATTCCATTTTTAGTTTGATGAATTTTTGTTGATGATGATGAAGAATTTAATGGGATAATAACAGTATCTAATGCATCACCATCTTGATTATTAGATTTATTTATATTTGTCATTTTCATAGGATCACGTCTTGTATTATTATTATTATTATTGTTATTATTCCTTGACATTAATAAGATAATGTAAACAACTATGAATGTTTATATTTATAACTATTAATTTATATATATATGTAAATATATTTTCAAAGTTTTCACCTTCAAGAGAAAATGAAGTTTTGTTTTCTTTCTTGACTTATTAAAGAGAAAGATTGTTTGTTTGTTTGGTTGGTTGGTTTTTATTTACTTTTTGTTCTCACTTTGTTTTATTAACACAATTTGACTTCACTAATAATGTTCTTGTTTCAATTTATTCAATAATTCCAATAACAATAATTATTATTATTATTATTATTATTCATTTTATTTTAATAAATAGGGATATTTCATTTAAATTGATTGTTTGTTTATTTGATAAACATAATAAGACACATGAATCAATATAAAAATAGATTTGATGATTGTATCTTCTTTTGTAGGACAAAAAAAATTACAGTAGTTATGCTATTTTTAATTAATTAATTAATTATTTAATAATAATAATAATAATTGAAGTAGTTGCCTAATGATAAAATATACATATTGAAATTGTCATAGATCAAAATATTATCTTAATCAAATATTGTATTCATTCTATTTATGATTAATACTATTTAATTGTGATAATTGTTTTGTTTTTTTTATTTATTCAGTAGATATATTTATTTGTCTGAATGATAAAACCATACAATTTGGTTTTATTTATTCACAATTGTAATCATCTAATCAATGAATATCATGACTGTGCTCTGTTTTAATATTTTCCCATTGTAGACAAACAACAGAAGCATAGATACACTCATATATGTATATATATGGAGATAGATAGATAGATATGTATACAAACATGAATTTGCACAAGTACATTTATACAAAAACCTATATGTCAACTTATATATTTATATAATTTAACAAGTAAGTACATAGATACATATATACAATATAGGTGATAAACATGCATTATTTCCATAGGGTTATATAGATTTTGTACCTGTCTCTAGAACAATACAATTAACCACTAAGAGAAATTTTAGAAATTGATGCAACAATTGATAGAATTATAAGTTACTGTTAATAAAATACATGTCTGTATAATGTTGAATATGTTTGTACTACTAATGTTTGTTTAAAATAAATAGTATATCTATGACTATTTTATATTCACTGAATATTACTACTAATATTATTAACATATTAAAAACGATCATTTTATTTTAAAATGAATAATTGATTCTTTTCATTTTTAATACTTGAGATCATAAGTTAATTGAAGCTCGATGACCATCAAAAACTTGGAAGAATTGGATGGCTATTTCATCCTAATGTGGGACTCCTCAGCAGTGCGCATCCACGACCCCGCCTTGCGTGCAAGCGATTAACCACTAGACCATTTCATGATATATTTACAAAGAATTTAATTCATTAATCAAAGTATTACTTCAAATACTTCTTTGAATTAATGAGTTATATTTTTTGGTAAATTCTTTCATAGTTGTGAAACGCAAACAAAAATAAAGCTTGAATTATATATGGAACAATAATATTTTATATGAATATTTGTCAAGATTAGAATGAATAATCTGACAGTCATTAGGCACCGACTATAGAGAAGTCATTATATGTGAAAATTATATTTGAATTAATGTCAACAGTCGAAATTTAAAATAATATTTTCTGATTCAATGATATCTTATATAAAATACTCGGTGATAAATTCAACACTCAACACAATTACAGATTTTTATTTGTAGAACATTTTTTTTATAAAAATGAGTAACTCTTCTAACTATTTAAACAAGTCTCAACAAAAGTTCAATCATAATTAATGTAATATAAAATTATTCTAGATGAAATACAAAAATAATTATAATATGGTGATGACAACCGTTTCCAGATCACTCAACCTATAGCTCTTCTAGAGTTACTGCCCATCCCAAGCCCGGGTAAAGGAGGAGAGTTGAGCATGGGGTTAGCGACCCCAGATAGGATGAATATAAGTGTGACTGAAATACGAAAAGATGCCATCAATTTATTAGAAAGTGTGATGTTAACAAGTATATGTTTTTAAATGTTAGAAATAACTTTTTAAAAATTCACTGAATAAGATATTTTTATAAATGTTTGAAAACTTATTTGTATCAACATAATCATTAACGATCCCGCTCGCGGGATTCAAACTCAGGGCCTTCGATCTCACGCGAGAACTCTTAAACTACTGGACCACTGAGCCGGCATCCATTGGTGATAGTGATCGTGGATGCGCGCTGCTGATGAGTCCCACAATAGACGAAACGTCCGTCCAGTGCTTCCATGTTTCCAAAGATGGTCTAACATCAATCGGTTCATGATCTCAATCAAAAACTTAACAATATCCACAACTCATATACTAGTATTCATCAACATTTATAAGCTGAAATAAATCAAGTTGTTTGTATAAAATGATTTTTCAAAAGCTATTAAGATTGGGATTTACATAAACGCGATTCACCTGTAACATGAACTCATATATTAATGTTTCTTATGTATTCCTTTTAAAAAATATATAAAACTTTTGATATATTGATCATTTTAATAGTTGAGATCATGTGTCAATTGAATCTATGCCATCATGTAAAACCACAAAGTACTGGGCAACTATTTCGTCCTATTGTGGGACTCTTTTACAATACACATCCACGATCCCAACTCACAAGATTCGAATCCAGGAGATTAAAAATTGTTTTATTCACAGTATACAAATACAAAAAGTTATCTTGATTTTTCTTTTATTCTTCTTTTTAATTATTCATTTTATCAATTCAAAATTTGCAAATTATATTTTTTCTTTGTGTGCAAATTTTCAATTTTTATTTTCGTAATGAAAAGGAACGTATTCACTATCTTCCACTGAATAAAACGGCAATTCCTCTTTTTTTAATGAAAGTATATTTACTCAAAAATCTATTCAGAAATCCATTGATGATTATGTTTATATTTTACACAATAGTTTTCACTGTAAAATACACAACTGTTTTTCATAATAATAATAATAATAATAATAATAATAATAATAATAATAATAATAATAATAAAGTAGTATGTGAAATGCTAAAATGACATCTATGGCAGTTTGCTAAACTATCTAAGCTATCTTCTCTTACCATCTATCTAGGTATTTCAACAAGTTATCCGTTTTCTTGTTTGTTTTAATACATCATTATAGCTATTAATCTTATAATGTATTGAGGTGCATTTCTGAAAAGTGTACAACCTTTCGTCGTGCAAATTACAAAAAACCCAATAAAAGATATTGTAGTTGCTGGCAATATATAGCGTAAAAGAATCAATATTATTTAGATGTCGAACGACTGGAATGCAAACTTCTAACTGGTGACCACTCATGATTTACCGTCAGGATCGACCAAGAAGTAAGAAACGGAAACTTGTTGGAATACTTTGTGCTTAGAATTCTATATTGTACTAAGAACATAACACTGAATAAAGCCAATAATAACAATAATATCTGTAATACATGTAATCAGAAAATAAAGAAAATAACTAATATTAATAAATATCAATTAATTAATAGAATGGAATGTCTTAAGTAATCTAATAATAATTAACTTTTTCACTCATTAATATAAACTACAAGGAATTTGACAGTTTTACATTATATAAAATTATAAATGACTGTTAGACTGTTGCTTCAAAAATAAAAATGGAATTATGTAACAATACACAATAGAACTTAATAAAAAGTTGTTAACATGATAACTACATTCCAACAAAACTGATAAAATGTTCATTAGTACTACCTCAAACATTCATTCTGTACATACTAGATCATTTCAATATGCATAAACGTCTAAATAATCGTACACCTATAAAAATCATTGTTTACTCATTGAAGTTTTCAGTATAACTCAACTAAATTATCTTCAAAACTAAAAGTACCTTATGTTGTCACATATGAATACCCTTTTTTCTACAGTTATTTATAAGCTATACTTCTTCGTATGAAGAAAAATACGTTAACGAATTTGTTATTTCAATGTAAAACAACAGTAACTACTAGTATTGTAAACCAAACATAAAAATTTAGATAAAGAAATGAGAAGACAAGATTGATAGTTTCATTATTTGAATTTGTCAAGAGGATCAATCGTTTTAGACTCAAAAAACTTTGCTCGTTAAATTGACATAGTACGTATATAGCATTTCTTAGATTTAGCAATAACGACTGTATAAGAAACTTTAAAACTCTGTTTTTTGAGAAGATTTACAAAAGTGTGTTTCATGAACTGATACGAGTGAAAAGAGACCGTATTAAATTCAAAATTTGTATGGCATTTGTATTCATATAATTACATTGAAATGTTTAGTTCTGTAACAACACATAACCAATAAATTTGATCAGTACCTTTAGTTCACTTATTTAAATCCAAATAGGGTTTCATCAAAGATAAATTTCAGCTGGGTCACGATTGGAAACTAAGCAGTATTAGACATATTTTGATCCCAATTTATAAAACCTTGGTATTGCTTGACCACTACCTTACCACGAATCGAATTAAAGTCTTCCAGACCCCTCAATAAGTTTTTTAGTGCTGAACTGCTAATTTTGAATTCAGTGACCCACATTTCTCATAATTATTTATTAAGATACATATACATTGATACAATGTGGCACTAATATATATATATATATATATATATATATATATATATATATATATATATATATATATATATATATATATATGTCGTCTGGGATACTATCTGAATGCCCGAATCGATCTATCTAGATCAACCCAATTAACAATATGACTCAACTGTCATCCAGTATAATCAGTGATGATGGCAAGCACTAATGGTAACATGTAAGGATTATGTATCATAAATTGAAATAAAAACTACTCAATTCACAACATATTCAAACACTAGTAGACTCAAAAAAAGTGGAATATTTATTTCATTAGTGTATGTACAGTGATATTAGCGATAAGATCTAGATTTATTCATTTCATGTAAATCTCTGACTCAATTACTACATT